CTCCCTCTAGGTTCTGTTCAAAATTGCATGAAACATTAGCTGTCACATAAAGTCATTGCCACTGTTGAAAAAGAGAGATGGATGAAACATATAATCCTTGGGATAAAGGGAGAAGTCAGCCTCAGGAAAGAAAAAAAAAAACAAAGAAAAAAAGAAAAACAAAAGATTGCTAGAAAAGAAGCATGAGAGGACAGAAAAGAAGAGGTCTTTGCTAGAGAATAAAATGATAAGTGAAAAAACATACAGTCTTGAGCCACATAACATTTCAGTTAATCATGGACCACATATATGACAGGTCCCATAATATTATAATGGACCTGAACAATTCTTATCACCTAGTGATATTGTAACCATCTCTTGACTGCATCATTTTCTCTTATGCTTCATTTAGTCTCATGTTGTTTTGTTCATCATGGCCCCTAAAATTACAAAATCCACTGCTAATGTTGCCAGTAAGAGGCCATATTGAGTGATGGAGGTAGAAACAAAAGTAAAAGTGATTAAGAATTACCAAGGTGGAAAATCAGTGATGGTTATCACTTGTCAGTCACACATGTCCCATTCCATCACAGCTACAATCTTGAAGAACAAGAACAAAGCAATGAAAGCTGTTAAAGGATTTGCTTCATTGAAGGCAAAGAGATTAACAAAAATTTGAGAAGGGCCTATATCAGATATTGAGAAGCTTCTAGTGGCCTGGGTTGAAGACCAGAAAGAGAAGTGTCTCCCTTTCAGCACCATGACATTCATGAACAAAGCAAAAAGTTTATTTGCGATGTTGAAAAGGTTAAACTCAACTACGATGTTGAATTTACTGCTAGCTCCAGGTGGTTTAAGTGATTCAAGAATCATTACTTATTACATAATGTAAAAGCAAGTGGTGAGTCTATGAGTGCTGATGTGAAGGCAGCTAAAGAATTTTTAGAAGCTCTAGATAAGCTCATTATAGAGGAAAGTTACTTGCCTGAGGAAATATTCAATATGGATAGAAACCTCCCTATTTTGGAAACCTAAAAAAGACTTTCATCCATAAAAGGGCCAAGTCAATGCCAGGTTTCAAGGCTTTTAAGGACAGGATAACAGTCTTGCTTGGGGATAATGTTGCAGGCTGAAAATTGAAGCCCTCGGTGACCCGGCTCAGTGAAAGCCCCAGGGCCTTCAAGCATATCAATAAGCATACACTACCAGTGTGCTACAAGAACAATAAGACATCATGGAAGACTCAGCTCTTCTTCCAAGATACTCCTGAATTGCTGTGTCAGTGAAATGGAGAAGTACTGTTTGGAGAATAAAACACCTTTAAATTTTTTTGCTTATTGCTGAAAATGTTCCTGGACATCCTCCTCTTATTGGTGATCTTCATCCCAATATCAAAGTGCTGCTTCTCCCTCCAAACCCCACCTCCTTGATCTAACCAATGAATCAGTGATCTTTTAAAGTCTACTGCCTGAAGAAGACCTTTGCCCAGGCTATTGATACACCTGAGGAAGACACTAAGAGGACACTGATGGAACTCTGGAAGGATTACAACATGCATAATTACATCAAGATTTCATGGACCTGTGGTGATGTCACTGAGGAGTGTGTGAATGGCAGCTGGAAAACGACACTCAAGAGGTTTTTGTCCATGGCTTCAATGGGTTCGACAAGGTTGCAAAAATCAACAAGGCTGTGATTGAGATGGCAAACAACTTTAACCTGTATGTGGTTGAGGACTGCATTGAGGAGCTCCTAGAGATGGTTCCTGAGAAATTGAATAGTGAGGAGTTGTTGGAATTGGAATAGGAATGTATAGCTGAAGAAAAGGCAAGAGAAATGGAAACTGCAGGAGAAGAAAAAGAAGAAGAACCCCCAAGAAGATTTATAGTAAAGGGCTTATTTTGCAGACCTCAACAAGCTTCTTAAAAAGTTTGAAAACATGAACCCCAATACCAAAAGCTTTTTGTTAACAGAGAGGAATGTTCATGGTGCATTATCTGCTTATAAGCAAGTCTATGATGAAAGAAACAAATTAAGCAAAACACTGTGGACATAGTTCTGAAAAGAGTGACATATCCTGAAGAAGAGGCTCAGGCAGGCCCTTAAGGAGTGTTATCATAGGAGATGACAGCTCCATGCACGTTATTGTCCCTGAAGACCTTCCAGTGGGACAAGATATGGAGGTGGAAGCCAGTGATATTGATGGTACTGACCCTGTGTAGGCCTAAACTAATATGTGTGCTTGTGTCTTAGTTTTTAACAAAAAGGTTTAAAAATAAAATAAAATAAAAAAATAAAACAGAAAAAGCTTATAGAATGAAGATATAAAAAAAATTCTTGTACAGCTATGCAATGTGTTTGTGTTTTAAGTGTTATTGCAAACAAGCCAAAAAGTTTACAAAACTTTTAAGTTTATAAAGTAAAAAAGTTACAGTAAGCTAAGGTTAATTTATTATTGAAGAGAGAAAACATTTTTGTAAATTTAGTCTATCTTAAATGTACAGTGTTTTTGAAGTCTACAATAGTGTATGGTTATGTCCCAGGCCTTCACATTACTCACCACTCACTCACTGACTCACATAAAGCAACTTACAATCCTGCAAAACTCCATTCATGGTACGGGCCTTCTAGAGGTCTACTATTGTTTATCTTTCACACCATACTTGTATTGTAATTTTTCTGTTTAGATATATTTAGGTATACAAATACCATTGTGTTACAATTGCCTACAGTATTCTGTGCAGAAACATGCTGTACAGGTTTATAACCGAGGAGCAATAGGCAATACCACATGGCCTAGATGCGTAACAGGCTATATACTATACCATCTAGGATGAGTAAGTACACTCTACGATGTTCTCACAATGACAAAATTGTACAAAGACGCATTTCTCAGATTGTATTCCTGTCCTTAAGCAACACATGACTATCTCAATACCTAGGAGGAAGAGGTAAAATTCAGGAGGGATAGTTACTATGGCTGTGCAAAGGTGCAATGGACAGGGGGTGAATATATTTCGAAGGACAGGTGAATTGAAATGAGAGTGTTCGTGAACATTTCATTATTTGGACCTAACTAGTTTTGTCTTTTTTAGTAGATGCTGTATTGTTCCATCCATATCTCCCTTTCAGCTTCCAGGCACAGAATACTACAACTGGTGAGAGTTGTGTTGATTGCTAGTGACTCACAGCTATTCCCCCTCCAGACTGCCCTCACTCTAAGACAGCTGTTGAAATTAAATTCACATGTCCTCTCTAACAGCAAACCACTTTGAATAACTAATGGATGCCAGAGTATAAAATCTAGATTCCTTGTCTAAATTTGGGACAACATGAAAAGCCATCCCAGCTCCAGAAATCACCCCTCCATCCCAGGAATGGACTGAAATCTCAATTTTATTTATATCACAGGTTAATTCTTTCTTTGACCAATAAATACTGCTTCTCTCATTCCCATACAGTTTCAATCCTAATCTGACTACACAGTTTGGAAAAGAGAATGTCTCTCATACATTATGTGGTCCTGAAAATGGATGAACTTTACAGGTGGCAATCCAGTAATACCTTCCCTGAAGGATCTCACAATGTTCTTTGGTTCGATATATTTTCAAGGTCACCAACAAATTAGGGTCTGGCTATAACTGCATTAGTCTTCAACAGTTTGCAAGGATTGACAGAATTCTAAAATGTTAGCTCTACAACATAGCTAAGTGCAAAATCATCTAAATTTTATAATTGACAGATGAAGAACCTTAGCTCACTTGTGTAGTACTCACATCACTTATTTGCTTAGATTTTTTTTTTCAAACTATATAAGACATTATTTCACCTGTTTGTCTGTTTTTGTGTTTGGTTGTTTTTCTGGAAAGGTCAAATATACTATGTGGAAATGATCCAAATTAGGACAAGCAGGATGGAGAGAGGAATAAAAATTTGTGATAATGAACCACATTAGCCATCATTCTATCACCACACAGAGGACTTTGAATCACTTGTTGCCCTGGTACTTGTAATTAAAACAGCTGCAGCTGCTGCTGCTGCTTAAATTTTCTCACATTAAAAAGTATTTCTTGGGAGTTCCAGTCAAGACGGCGGAGTAGGTAACCACTGTGCTCATCTCCTCTCAGGACTACATCAAAATTACAACTAAACTACAAAACAACTATCATTGGGGCCGGCCGAGTGGCGCGATGGTTAAGAACTGGCTTAGGACGCCAGAGGGCCCCGGTTCGGATCCCACATATGAGGGCCAGTGACACTGCCCTCTGCAGCTAAGATGCTGAACAACAGCTCAACCTGGAGCTGGGCTGCCGTGAGTCGCCGACAAGGCATAGGCTGCAGTCCCTGTGGCAGTGGGTTGCCATGGGCTACCGTGTGTAGCCAGCAGCCAGCGTGAGCGGCCAGCAGCCGCAGTGAGCGGCCGTCCAGAAGCCGGCGACTGATCTGCCTCACCCGGGAAGAGCGCAATGATGGTGCCAACTTGGGCCAGTGAAGCAACGTCCTCCACAACTAGACTGAAGAACAAAACAACAGCAACTTGTCTGTTCCCCTTCCCCCAATTCCCCAGCACTGTTCCCATCCCCCGAATTCCCCAATAAAAATCTTTTAAAACAAAAACAAAAACAAAAACAAAAAAAAAACAAAAAAAAACAACTATCATTGAGAATTGCCTGAAGTCTAGCTGAACAGAAGTCCTGTAAATAAGGATATAGAAGAAACAACATGGAGACCGGTAGGAGAGGCAGAGACACAGAACAGGCTGGCCCAACACATGTGGCAGTTCAAAATTGTGGGGGTGGGGGATAGCTCAGCTGTGGAGGTCTTCCCTGAGGAGTGAGGGGTTCCAGCCCCACACCATTTTCACAAACCCAGGGTTCCAGTCCTGGGAAGAGAAGTCCTCATACTCCTGTTTGTGAAAACCAGTGGAGACTGTAGCTGAGTGAGACTGGGGTGGGGTAGGGGAGGGGGGGGATGGCTGGAGTCCCAGGTGCTCTTCTCAAAAGGCCCTCACATGGACTTACTTGCTGATGGGTTCACTCGCTCTGAGCTCCGTCATGGGTAGAGCAGCTCAAAGTCATCAGGGACATATGTGGAAGAACTGAATTTTCTGGCTTTAGGGTGAGGGCAGCTTTCTCCCAGGCAGAAGTGTTGGCAGACATTGTTCCTTTGTCTGCGTGCTGAGGCGACCCACAGCCAGCATGCAGACACAGGTGGCTGCTATATATGAGTTCCCATCAACGCAATTAATACTATTCACCCCGCCCTGGTAACTCCCTGAGACCCTCCCTCACTCAAATTACAAGTCCATCCAAGCCATTTCCATACAAACGGACTGTCTTGGCACATGCTGTGGACTTTCATAAAATCTCTCAAAGGCTCACAAACCCCAAACAGGCACCATTTGGCCTTGGCTTGCCCCATATCTCTTGCTAAGCAGCCTCAAACATGGCATTAGCGGCAGCTGGCCTTGATCGTCAACTTAATCTCTCCCAGGCATCTCCAATCCCAGCAGCACAAGTGGTAATCATTTGCAGGTCACCTTGTAGCTCATACCAAGTGGCCCCAGGCAGTGGCTGACCTTGGACTGCAACAGAGCTCCTTACAGGAAGCTCCAGAACCAACACACCCAGTGGCCAGCTACAGACCACACCAAAAACTACCCAACCACTTCCATAAAAGACACACCCAAAGGGCAGACTGGGCAGGCACCAGAGCCCTGCTAAAGCAAATCCTGTTCTATAGGGTCAGCCCCTACACAATAACCCTTCCACTGCAGTCATGTCATTCCTCATAACCAATCAGCCTGGAGGTCAGTCTCTCCCATTGACATGCAAACAGCAACCAAGGCTCAACTACAACAGGAGGGCACACACAGCTCACATAAGGGACACATTTGAAGCACGCAGCTCAGGTGACCAGGAAGACTGTGCCAAGAGGCCTACTGGATACCTACTACATGAGGCCATTCTACTAAGACTGGCAAACATAGCAGTTCTACCTAATACATAGAAATAAACACAGGTAGGCATCCAAAGTGGGGAGAGAAAGAAACATATTGCAAATAAAAGGACAGAACATAGATCCAGAAAAAGAATTAAACAAAATGGAGACAAGCAATCTACCAAACGCACAGTTTAAAGCACTGGTTATAAGGATTCTCAATATCTCAGTGAGAACAAAGTGATAGGAAACATAAAAATGGTGATAGAAAACATTTAAAAACAAAACAAAATGAAGAACACAATAACTGAAGTACAGAATGCACTAGAGGGAATCAACAGTAGATTAGATAAAGCAGAGTATCAAATCAGTGGTTTGGAAGATAAGGTAGCAGAAAATACCCAATCAAAACAACAAAAAGAAAAAGGAATCCAACAAAATGAGGATAATTTAAGAAACCTCTGGGACAACATCAAGTGTTGTCCCAGACAACATTCACATCATAGGGATACCAGAAGAAGAGAAGAGCAAGGCGTTGAAAACGTGTTTAAAGTTGGGCCAGCCTTGTGGCTCACTTTGTTAAGAGTTGGCTTGGGAGCACGAGCTCTGACCAGCAGGGCCAAGGGTTTGGTTCCCACATGAGCCAGTGATGCTGTGCCCTCTACAGCTAAAATGGTGAACAACAGCTCGACCTGGAGCTGGGCTGCTGTGAATCGCCAGGAATGGCATAGGCTGCAGTGGGGCTGCAGTGGGCTGCTTTGAGCTACTGTGAGTTGCCGGCAGCCAGCGTGAGCTGCCGCGAGCCGCTGTGAGCAGCTGTCCATTGGCCGGCGACCAATCTGCGTCACCCAGGAAGAGTGCAATAATATCAACATGGGCCAGTGAAGCGACATCCACCACAACTAAACTGAAGAACAAAAGGATAGCAACTTGTCTGTTCCCCTCCCCCAGTTCCCCAATAAAATCTTTAAAAAAAGAAAAAAAAAAGAAAACCTGTTTGAAAAAATAGTGATAGAAAACTTCCCTAATCTGGCAAAGGAAATAGCTATACAAGCTCAGAAAGTGCAGAGTCCCAAACAAGATGAACACAAAGAGACCCACACCAAAACAAATCATAATTAAAATGCCGAAGATTAAACACAAATAGAAAATCTTAAAAGCAGCAAGAGAAAAGCAGTTAGTTGCCCACAATAAAGCTCTCATAAGACTGTCAGCTGATTTCGCAACAGAAACTTTGCAGGCCAGAACAGACTGGCAGGAAATATTGAAAGTGAGGAAGAGTGAGGACCTACAACCAAGATTATTCCACCCAGAAAAACTATTTTTTTGAATCGAAGGACAGATAGATTATCCCAGATAAGGAAAAGCTAAAGAAGTTCATCACCACCAAACCAGTATTATAAATGTTAAAGTGACTTTTCTTGAAGAAGAAGAAGAAGAAGAAAGATAAAAAATATGAATAATAAAATGGCAATCACTGCATATCTACCAACAAATACTTCAAATGTAAATGGATTAAATGCTCCAATCAAAACACACAGGGTGGGGGCCGGCCGAGTGGCTCAGTTGGTTAAGAGCTTGCTCAAGAGTGTGAGCTCTGAGCAACAGCGATTCGAGTCCCGGCCCAAGCTGAGCTGCCGCTGAGCTGCCAACAGGTGGCAGGATAGCTCAGCTAAAAAAAAACAACAAACAAACAAAAAAACACACAGGGTGGCTGAATGGATAAGAAAACAAAACCTTTACATATTCTGCCTATGAGAGACTCATTTCAGATCAAAAGACACACACAGGCTGAAAGTATAGGGATAGAAAAAGATATTTCATGAATATGAAAATGAAAAAAAAAAGCTGGGGTAGAAATACATCAGATTAACTAGACTTTAAAACAAAGGCTATAACAAGAGACAAAGAAGGACTCATTAATTTCACTTCTGGGTATTTATCTGAAGAAACCCAAAATGTTGCATCAAAGGGATGTGTGCATCAATATGTTTACTGCGGCATTATTTACAGTAGCCAAAATATGGATGCAACCTGCCTGTCCATCAATGGACGAATGGGTAAAGAAGAGGTGGCACCTATTTACAATGGAATAATACTGAGCCATACAAAAGAATGAAATCTTGCCATGTGCAACAACATGGGTGGACTTAGAGAGTATTGTGCTGAGTGGAGTAAGTCAGACAGAGAAAGACAAATGTCAAATGATTTCACTTATATGTGGAATCTAGAGAACAGGATTAATGAACAAACAAAACAGAAACAAGGTCAAAGACAGAGAGCACTTTGATGTTGCCGGATTGTGGGGAGGTTTGAGGGAATGGGTGAAGGGGGAAGGGGAGTAAGAAGAACAAATTCGTAGTTATAAAAGTCTTGGGGATGTAGAGTATTGCATGGGGAATATAGTCAGTAGAATTTCAATAACTACATATGGTGTCAGACAGTACTGGATTTATTGGGG